TCTTACCCGATACCCACCCTCCAGTTATGGTCTAAAAACCCATATGAAAACATGCATCCCACTTCAGCATCCCCACTTTAACACAACTCACACTTACTTTACCAGCACTCTGCACGTAACCCTTCCAATTGCTCTACAACTATCACATACGGGATGGAGCTTCAACCCTGCACCACAGCATGTTCCCACTGATGTGCCTTCATCATCTCAGCTTCCACAAACAGGCCAGTGATGGGACCTTCTTCCTATTCACCAGTCTAGCATCAGATAGATGTCAATGTACCCTCCTGATATAAACCAAAAATACTTTCTATGTATGTACAGACCATAGATTTACACGTACTAAATAAACAACTGAACAAACCAGGGCACTTAATTATAGTTTGTCACAAGGATCACGGAATCAGCAACATGACCCTTACAGAGCTTCACAGATTCACACACTAAATTGGCTAGGCTTATATTCCACATAAGCATTGCTTTAATCACTGGTACCCACATGCACAGATACAGCAAAGATGAGAGTGCGTGACAGGAGATTACAATTAAGGTTGGGTATGCAAGGTTGAACAGTAGGCTTTGTAGACAACTTTCCTTTCTTTCACAAAGGAAATTTATTTGTGATGTTCAATCAATTGTAGATATAATTTATAAACAAAATCCTGAATATGTTGCTTGAGACTGGCATACAAAGCAACACTCAACTTGTAAAAACCTTCTTTAAAGGATGGAATACTGCCAGCCTTCCAAGTGCTGCTGACAACAATTTAGGCCAATGGCCAAACATGAAACATCAAACATGTGACAGGATGCAAAAGCACCCTGGCAAAGCTTTGACAGGTGGGGGGGGTCGAAACTGATGATTTCCATACAGTTTAAAAGGCCAGATTTGGTTACGCACCAGCAATACCCTAACTACCAAGGAGAAAAGAGTCCTGTATACCCCATTTCCCTTTCCTGCTCACTAGGGGTTAAAGAAACTGTGCATCATTGATCAACTCATCCTACTTCACCTGTGTGACACACAGCTGCATATAAACTAATGCTGCACAAGGGAAGAGCCCTCTACCTTATTTCCACAGCCCCTTTGGGCCAGCTTGCTCCCCTGTCCAAAACCAACAGTCGAAAGGAGCAGTGTTCCAGATCGCACGCTCTGGGCACCCACCACCCACCCCTGTGCACGAGCTGCACCCACCCCAGGGACCTGCATTAGTTCTGAGTCAAAGGGGAGGGCACCTCCTGTTGGAGTCACTCACACTGTTCCCTGGATTTTCCTGGAAGTGTCTTACCCCCTCTCACTCTCCCTCCTCTTGCATTTCTCCTCCTTCCAGGGCTGTCTCTGAAAATAAACCACCAGGAGAATTACTGGGCTGGCTGGCCGCGACACAGCTCCGGAACGGGCGCAAGGACTGCGGGCCAGGCTGCACAGGCGACAGCAGCAGCAGGACGCCCCCGCCCCGCCGCCCGCCCTGGAAGGGGCGGCAGGGGGCGGTGCAGGGACGCGGGCAGCCACCGGGCCCGCCCTGGCTGTGGCGGGGGCAATCGCCGCCCTGGGGCCCGGGGGCCCCGCGGCTCCGGGCAGCGGCTCTTCCCGCAAGTCCTCGCTCTAGACACTAAGACAGACAGACAGACACAGACAGACAAGCAGGCGGGCGGGCAACCCACCCCGCTTCCGCTTCCGGGTCACGCCGGCGCCGGAAACACCCCCACCGCGGACTTTCTCGCTCCCTCCCTCTCTCTCGCTCCGCGCACCACCAGTCCTCGGGCACCTCCCCCGGCCACTGGTGACCCCGACCCCGGCTCCGGCAGCTGCGGCGCCCTCCTCACCGGAAAGAGGATCGGCGAGTCACTTCCGGGTCACGAGGCGGGGCAAATTTTGCCACATCCGGAGTGCTAGGGAGAGCGGAAGTGATGTAAGAAACAGGAGCAGGTAGAGCGCGGCAGCCTACGGGCCGCTAGCAAACCGGAAGTAGCGTTTTTAGCAGGCAGGGAGAGGGCGACCGAGCTCTCCCGCGGCAGCCCGCAGGCAGCCGAGCCCCGCGGGGGTAGGGAAGCGCGCCGGCACCTACCGGAAGTAGTAGTGGTGTAGGCAGCAGGGCGGCTCCCGGCCAGGGGGAGGGGCGGAAGCGCTGGCTTTGACCCCGGAAGACGCGCCATAGCCCGGGCCCCCTGGCTGTGATGTCATTTCCCGGCGGGGGGCGCGGGGCGGGTCCCGTGCTGCTGGATATTAATGAGGCTCATAAATAACCCAGCGGCGCGGCCCGTGGGCTCCCTACTACGAGGCCGGGCGGGGGCGGGTTGTACCAAACCTGCGGGGTGGCAGCGGGGCCGGGCTGCGGGCGGCCGGG